TCTCCATTACATTTTAAAGAAAACATGTTTTCTATGATATGCCTAACAATTAACTTCCCACACTGAACACAAGCTCCAGTCTCTTGGGTGAAGAGCCTGTTGCCAACTCATTCTGCCATCCTCCCCTCAAACAGCCTTACTATCTGGCTTCTGTGTTTAAATGGATAATGACATTCATGTGAGCATGCAAGTTCAGCCTAAAGAGAAAAATTACGGTCAACTGGAGAAACAAAAAATATTCTAAAACGGTTGCCTTTCCTTGAGTATTACATGAAATAAACTTGGTTGCTGAATTTGTATCAAATTTTCTACATTCTGAGATTTGACCAATCTTTTAAATATGCCTCTTCTTCATCAATTGTTTATTGGGCACCTAACTGACAAATTACCTCCACATGTTAAACTAGTTGAACCAACTTATACTGTTCACAGAAGAGTATGGAATATGATGGAAATGTGTCTTAATTTGAATTTTATTTGCAGATTTTCTTGAAATCTGAGTAACATTGCTGTGACATTTAGAGGGAACCATGCTGGTAGGTAAGTAGGAATCATGTGAAACAGTAAGCTGTAGTTTTTAGAGCCTATGAGGCCGAGTGGGTCTCTGCAGTTGATGTAGCTAAAGGTTCCAGTCAGTATTTGGAAATGTAGTGAGTACAAACAGAAATTAGACAAAAGAGATTTTAAGATCAGATAAGAAACTGATGATGTTTCTTGTCAAGAAGGGTACTGCTTTTCTGTGCAGTAGGGGGATGGTAACAGGGATGGTTCATCACCACACAGGACAGGACAGGACAGCCAGGACACGGTACCTCTCCATCATGGTAGCTGCCTCCTGCTCTCTTTTCCGTCTCTTTCTCTCAGCAATGCCTCGGAAAGCCCTGCTGGGACGTCAAAGTGTTAAGTGGTTTTGTTTTGAAATGGCGTTTTAGCTGCGCCTGACCTAACACCAAAGAATTCTTGTCTGAACCCAATCTGACCCAAGGGGTAAATAATCTTTACAGAACTTATCTGATAGTGCTCAGAAATGGTTAAAGTTTTTAAGCTCTAGATAGTCTGAACTACGCCTGGCAGAAATGCAACAATAAATGTGAGAAACTGACTTGACTAGAACCCTTTGGGTCTATTTGGGTTCGGGCATAAAGTGTAGTCAGGGTGGGATAGGGCAATAGTATAGGTGTTCAGGGTGAGGGTTTTAGGGTTATACGGGTTAGCGGGGGTTTGGTTAGCTTTGCTTAGTGATCAGGGTTAGCAGCACAGACGTTCTATCCACCAAAGGGTGAAAACATTACGGATATTCTCACACACACACTGGGACCACAAAGTTAGGGGTCTACAAGAAGAGACATTGATGGAGAAACCAAAAAACTGCACATCCTGCCCACCAAATTGAAGCTAACTATACAGATAAAGTCACCAGTATCAATCACGGAATTCCTGCTATCGTTTCATATAATTTCATTTAGATATGATTTTTAAACCACTAGTTTTTTGGTGTGTACCTGCCTTTATGCCTATTGTTTCCCATTCTGCCAAGTGTGTTAGTCGGTGAACGTGGGTGTGCCTTTCCCAGAGGGGACAGTAATGGCTCTGACAAGATGTCAGACATAATGAGAATCATCTGTGACACCGTATGTCAGAAATGAAATCATGTCCTGCAGTCTGGTTTTGACCGATGGACAGACAGACAGCTGATGAGCTCTGGGACAACAAAACAATGGGCTGAAGTCACTGGAGTCTACACACTGCTTATTATTCTTCATAGGTCTCCCTGTGCATCGCTGTTACATCATTTTTCCCCTTCATTGAACCACTTTCTGCTCCCTGTCCCTGGAAAAGACGAATGTGTTGGAAGTGACTCTTCCTTCAGCCTGTCATTCCTTCCACCATCTGCCATCAGCAGAAACTCTGAAAGCTGACAGCTCTGTTCCTCTTTTGTGCCATAAAGCAATCCAGCACATTTCCCGCCAAATTCAACCAAGTTGTTAAAGGGAGAGAAAGTAAAAACATTCCAAAGTCAGCTGGTAAAACTTTTGGAAATAGACTCTCAAACTGGCAAGTCGCCTTGCAACAGCAACATGATATCCTGTTATAGTAGTTTAAAGCTATAGCTAAGCATATAATATGTCATCTGATTTTTTTTTGACAAATTTTGTACAGTTGAAATTAAAATGACAATTACTGTATTTTCTGCAGATACAAAGGGGCCCTGTTTGGTGATATGCATAATAATAAACTTGGCAAGTCATCGCAATAATAATTAGGGAGAAAAAAATATTACACGACACAAACAGTAGCAGTAATCTACATATAGTTAGGATCACAAAGTGATATTTCACAATATAAATGATCTGATCTCAGATTACTGAGAATGCTGACTGTTTGGCACTTTGATAGCTAATGCTAGGTGTACATACAGACAAAGGAAAAACCCAGAGGAAGGAGCAGTGGCTAAGCCATGTTACTACAATTCAATTCAATTTTATTTGTATTGCGCAGTTTACAACACGTTATCACACAGCGCTGTACAAAGTAAGGTATAGACCTTATAAATTTAAACAGAGAACCCAACAATCCAAAGTAGCCTTTGGACTTCCTCTGAGCAAGCGGTTGGCAACAGTGGGAAGGAACCAAAACCGCCCCCAGGGGAGGGGGGAATAAAACCTCTGGCAGAACCAGGCTTAGGGAAGACGGCCATCTGCCTCGACCAATATTCGCAATTATTGCATAAGCAGCACAAAATTCCCAGAATTTGATCAAGTTGGTTCAAACCCCTATTTCTGTAGAGAAGGAATCAGCTAGCTCAGCTGGAGTAAGATGCTATATTCTTTACTCCATGCGCCCAGAAACAGTTTTTCAGCATACGTGCCACTGAGCAGCTTTCATGGGAATGTTCTAAAAGCAGTATTCAGTTTTCCTTAATAGATGCATACGTGTTAGCCAGAACTACCAAACTACTAGCTAACCAGAAAATGCCAATGAAGAGTTTATGTCTTTCTGTACAACAAACCCCTACTGTCCATTTTCTACATATGCAAGATTGGTGCTTTTTCTGTCTTGATGAAACCAACTTTACAGTACTGACACCAACATGCAGAGAACCAAGAGTTTCAGATGTAGACAATGAGCATTGTTAAACTACAGGTTAATGTATTTGCTGGTTACATTTATCACTTTAGATGATTAAATGTTCACAGCTTCCAGCTAAAACTTTCCCCTATTCCAGCATGAGACAATATCCATGAACAGCCCCTTTTAGACTTGCAATCCTTCACACTAATCTGACAGCTTCCGAACTTGTTGGTTTTATGCCTGAATGTCAACCCTGGTTACTTTACTGCAAAAGTTGTGACAGCAATCTGATTATGTCCAACCCAGCAACATTAACAACATTTCACTAGTCCAATCTGCATGCAGCTACATAGCAGACAGGGATGTACTATATCACAACATACTCGTGTGAAGTGATTTGGAGAAGGCTCTTTCCACATTAAAGCATCAATAGTGGTCAAAAACATCACAGAGTTAAAGATAAACACACCTCTCTCATTCACTTTTCTCTACAAGTTTACGTCTTTTACAAACGGAAATATCCGTAAAAACAAAATCTCACTGTCCTGAAGACAGAGACTAAGGGTCATATTGAGACTCATCAATAATTCACATAATCCAGGTTTGACAAAACAGTGAAAGGACCTGACGTTTAGTTTGTTGCTTCCGGCTGTTTGTAGGAGTCTTTCATCTGAGTTATTAAATGACTGCAGTATCAGATCCATATAAGCGACTGCAAGAGAGCAGCATGCATGGCACAACAGAAGAATCTTTATGACTTATGATTACAAATTGTCCTGACAGGAAGACAGTATGAATCGAGATCTAATTGTTGGGTCACACTGTGCACGTTTCTTCAGCTCAGACAGGTGAAACAGTTTATCAGATGTAGTTAAATCCTTTGTTATAGAGAGTCCTCAGGTTGAGTCCTGAGCTCCATCACAGCTGTCTGGATATTTTTAATTTACTGTTGGTGAAATAGCAGTTAGGTTATCATCACACATGGACATAATTTTCAGTATTTAGGAAATAATAAGTAAACTAGACTATTAGTTATTTGTTTGATTAGGTGCTATTAGTTTAGATTTTGTATTTTGTTTATGAGTGCATTGTTATACATTGTACATCACCTGACGTACTGGTCAACCTTACGTGTAAAATATTGCCGTATATTATACCGCGGCTCCCTCTATCACTGTAGCCAGTATGTCTGAATGAAGCCAAAAGGAACATTAATGTAAAAGTGACCTTTGTCAGAATGACAGAAAGTCATTATCCCATGTCTGAAAAGGGCTTAATTTACATCATAGCGCTAGAAATTAAGAAAGATTTAACTTGTAATTTTAAATGTTTGCTCTGTTAGACTTGTTTAGTAGTAATCCAAAATGCTGTTTTGTGTGTGTCTCTGTTTATGTAATTAGACTTCATTTTGTAATGCTAAATGCAGAACTAATTCTAAATATATGAACAAACAGCTTTGCTTAAAGCGATGCACTGCATGGACTCGTGGTTTTCATGCCGGTTGCATAAAATAAGGATTTTAGGCTTCAGGCCGACATTACGTACGAAATAAGCCCTTACTGTTAAATTTTGATACGCAATACCTCGAAGGAGACCTCAAGTAAGGAACTTTCACTATTTAGACAATACTCCAATACCTGGCATGACCTATTTTGTTGCAGCTCGTGAATACTTGGTGAATTTAGTATCACTGCTTCTCACTACTGTACGGCACCATCCCTGCACTCCAGCTGACTATTGATTAAATCGGTAACTTCAAACACCCAGTGCAGCAGACACTGAGGTTGAGGGGGTTAAGGACACAGCAGACTGAATAGCACAAAAGCACACGAGGAAAAGGGTTCAAGACATGTTATCTAACTGACACAGTGAGAAAAAAGGAAGAGCAACGAGGAAGAACAGTGGAGGCGTTTGAAAGAGTTACTCACGATATTCTACAGTCGTGGTTTGGAAAGCAGCCACACAGAGGAAGAAGAGGAGATAAAAATGAAAGAGAAGTTAGCAGCAGGGCCAGCCAAATACTCCACACACACACACACACACACACACACACACACACACACATCAGAGGCTGCTTTATGTTACAGTTCCCAGTTTTAGAAGACGATACATTGAGCAGAAAGAAGGGAAAGAAGAAGACAAGGAAAGAGAGAAAAAACTCACCTCAAATGGAATAGTCCTAAGTATAAACTCAAAATATGAGTGAGCAAGGACAGACGTTCACATAATTGGGACATGCACAGTGAAAGGAGTGAGCAGCAGCAGAGGAGGCATGATGATCAATCTAATCAAAATGTCTCATTAGAATCAGTTCATATTACAGACTCTATTAAGGACAAATAGTTTGATCAATTCTACAGCAAATGTGAAATCAATCAAGCTGCAACAGGCTCGTCCTGACAGAGATGACAGACAGCGATTGGCCAGTCATTTCAATCAAAGACAGAGTCAGACCCATACATCAGTCTGACCCTAATAGGGACACCAGCAGACAGAAACAGATGGAAAACGGGAGGCGAGACGCTGACATATGGACTGAGAAGAGGGAGCGTGGGAGAGGAAAGGGGAAAGATCATGGTGGGTGAGCTTTGTCTGTTTGAGAGTCATAATTATAAGATCAGGGTGAGAGGTGATAATTAACCAGTCACGAAGACTGGAAGGAACTTTGGTGTGTGTGTGTGTGTGTGTGTGTGTGTGTGTGTGTGTGTGTGTTGATGTGTATACATGAGCTGGATAAACCAACACATGTTCTCAACTTTTTAGATGCACTCAGTTCGAAGATTTTTGAATGTTTAGTATGAACGTGATCGAATTGGCATATTGTAATTGACTTACTGGGATGGAACTGAGGTTCTGTTAGGAAGCAGGTGCAATATGTGCTTAACCTCTAGATCTGAAGTTGGATGATGTGGCACCACTTTGCTCTGACTATATACAAAAGTGAAGGCAAAATATCTCAGAAGCTGCCATCTTGAGCTGGTGACGTCATTTGCAACTTAACTCATGACTGGAGAGTCAAGACTTGGTATTGATGTCCCCTCTCCTTCTCCATCAAAGTCCTTCAAGATTAATGTTTACATTTACATTTTCTAGGTGTAAATGATTAGTAATTGCTTGTTGTTTTGTTTAGCTATCTACATAAACCTGGCTTGCTGAAAACAGTCCAAAGGTTCCCTGATGCCTCTGAATGTCTGTGGATCGGTTACCGCAAATTAGCTCATTTTGTGGTTTAGTTAAACAAAGACGTCAAACAAGGTCGTTCCACCATTCCACTTACTGATAATCACAGCTGTCAATCATAACATACACTGTCATACCATTAAATAACAAATCAAAATCATCTACATAATAAGGTAAAATGACAGAAACCATATCTAGGAAATATTTATCTGATTTGGCTCATGTACCCTTCTGCTAACATGACCTATACTGCATCCGTGGTGTCTGAGATATTTTGGTTTCACTTCTCGGGCACTGTCAAGTCATCCACCTTTACATACAATCTGCAGTCGAGCTGCGTGAATGTACTGTTCGGCTAAGCTCGCAAGCTGCCAACTAGCAGTTTGCTTGAAATGAAGGGGTTTGTATGTTATGTTTGTTATCAAATCACCTCTTTGCACTGCTCTCTGTGCATTGGTGAAGAACATGCACAAATGGTACTGCCTGATGTGATAGTGGAATGGATAATGGAAAGGAAGTTTTACTAGATATCAGATAGACTGAAGATGCCAATAATTAGACCTTTGTGAAAGTGGTTGTTATGAAAACAACACTGAAATGGTACTTTCACTTTAACATTTTATTTTTGTTAACATTAAGTGAAAATCAGAACCAAATTGAAGTCAAGGTTGTAATTTGATTTGTAAGATTAGGTTGAATATTTTTCTGCCTTTTGTCATTTAGGAATGAAAATGAACAGATCCTTTAACCTTGAATTACAGTTGAAGTACACTAAAAATTAGTCATTTCATTTTTCACTTAGCTTTTCAGTAATTACGCATTTTCAAACATGAAAAGTTGACTTAAATGTGCAATTTATTTCAATATTATATTTCCATAATTTTCTGTAATATGTCGTATCCAATGCATTGAATCAAATGGAAAAGTAAATAATTTTGCACAACAAAAACTAAATTTGGCAAACATTGACTTCCATTTCTCAGAGAGGAACTAAAAACTGTGACCAATGATGACCAACTTTAGTTATAAAAGGTGAGAAGTGGCTTTATATACTGTGAAACCAACAAGTGAGGAATGTGTGAAAGCTCATTAAGACTTTGTAGTAGAACACTACATTTGTAAGTCTTGGAAGGAAAAGGCTGGGCCATGTCCTGCCAACATGGTGGTGGTGCAGTAGGACACTATGATGCACAGAGTGGGAGTAAAGGCGGATTTCCATGCCATACTCACGCCTGCATGGTGGTGGTGGCTGTCTGAAAGCTGAACATATTCTCTTTGGGGAACCAGCTATTAGCATTGTCCTCTGCAAACATAGAAAACAAAGGGAAGGCGTGATGTCAGAGTGCAGAACATTGAACCACAGGCCTTACAATTAGCGGAGGAGGTGAGTGAATGCATGATGAGACAGTGTGAATTACGACATCTGAGGCTGAATGGGGAACACTGCATCTTGTTTCATTCGCCGAAAAATTGGGGTATATTTAGTTTTCAAACCCCTTTTGCACATATCAGTATATATTTACATTTCCCTTCATGTCATTGCCAGTTTTTCAGTCCATCTGTATTTACCCCTGTCATCAGTCGATGCTCTGTCCTCGCTGTACATCCTCTCCAATTTCTTGCGCTGCTTCCCTCCATCTCGCGGTGAGGTATCCAGGTCCAGGGAGCGCTGGCTTTGACACGGAGCCCGAATGCAGGCCACGCAGTCTGGGGTGTAGTCGTCCCGCGACCCCCCTCTCCTCATCCCCCAGTCCCGGATGTTGCTGGCACTGCCCGAGCTCTGCAGCGGCTGTGACGATGACTGCGAGCCTCCGTGTTGCTGCTGAGCGTGGTGATGGTTGCTGCGGTGATGGCTACTGCGGTGGTGGCTACCACGGACAGCTGTTGCGGACGGTTGGCTGGTGCAGGACGGGTTGTGGTTGGCAGCAGCAGGGGCCTGGGCCAGAGGCTGCTCCCTGGAGCCCTTCAGCACCTCCAGCTCCAAGCTCTCCTCACTGCTACGGGCCCCCAGGGTCATCCCTCCTTCCCTGGTGATTGTGTACACTCTGGCCGGCTTCACAGCAACGCTCCCCTCTGCAACCCTGGGACCCGGTGGGTCCTCTGTGGAGAGGCTGCGTTCAGCTGAGAGTCGGCGTTTGGAGGGGCCCAGTGGTGCCTGAGCCTGGAGCGTGTTGACCTGAGGCTGAGGCTGAGGGTGAGCGCTGGGATTGGACTGGCTGGGCTGGTTAGGCTTAGCTATGGGTAAGCAGCGGCTCTGCGGTGGCAGATTGTTGTTATGCAAGCGACTGACGTCTGGGGAGTCACAGTCCTGGCCAGGGAAAGTGTCAGACAATAGATGATCTGGAGATAAAAGAAAAGAAAGGAAGAGAATTCACAAGAAAGTTAAAGCAAGTGACAAATTAATCTTGTCTGCAATTTATAAAGCTTTTGTAAATGGATATCAGGTAAATGTCTAAAATGTAGATAAACACAGAGATTGTTTGTCTCTCTTTGGGATTTGCAGCTCTGGCAGCAGAGTGGCAAACATTTACAAACCCACAAAGCTTTCAAGAGGATGAGAAGAAGAAGAAGATGAGAAGAAACACAGAAGAAGAAGAAGACGAAGAAGAAGAAGAATGACTGAGTAATGAAGAGACAGATGAGGAAGGATGAAAGATTTGAAAATGGATGAGCTGATTGAGGACATGAAGGACGTTGGCAGAAACAAAAGTCGTCCTGCAGGGTCATGGAGGATGGATGCTCCTTCTCACAGAGTAAGCAGCTGCAGTGCTGCAGGCTTGTAAATAAGTGTTAGCTCATGGGAATGGCTGAGTTTTTCATGCTGTCTGTGCTGTAGATAAACAAGTACAGGACATGCTTCTTGCAGACTGAGGCTGATAAAAACTGAACAAAAAGCAAACTTTTTCTTCTGTTTACTTCACCTACTTTTACTTTCTGTTTTTATGATTGTTTTTTGTGATGTTTTATTTACTCTATTGTGATTGCAGGTTTACTATTTGAGTAAGGGTCTAAAGCCCATATTACACAATAGTACAGCAATTTTTATCAGTGCTACTAGTTCTGTTCTGTAGATTGAAATCTCACTTCTACATCATAGCTAGGTGGGAACTATGCCAAGCAGTCACACCAGCTCTTTAAAACTAGCTGTCATGCTAACAAACTATCAAGTCATACAGCCACAACATCATGGAAGAGTTTGATTCATAGTGAATTTTTGTTTGATCAATAGATTCCTTCTGGCTTGAAATGACATAAATAAGTGGAAAAAGACAGCAATACATTGTGTTGAAGATAAATTTAAACTACTTTTTTTTTTTTTTTTTAATGATAATTCCATGTCCAAAGCCTTTATTTGTCATCACCTCGGTCAAATATTCCTAAGAAAGGTTCTGCATGTTTTGATTGTGATTTTGTTTCACTCCTCTTTGTGGTGACCTCCAGGTCTTAGAGGTTGAAGGCTGTCCTTGCCATCACTCTGGTCTTCAGTTTCCTCCACAGATTCTTTTTTGGATTCTGGTCTGCACTCTGGCTGATGTACTCCAAAATGTTCATATTGCTATCTGTTTACCGTTTCTTTACATTTTAGGTTCTTTGGTTCAGATCATTGTGTTGTTGGAAAGTCCAATGCTTCCCAAGGCAAGTTTTTTTTTTTTTTTCTTATGCAGACTGCCTGATGTTTTCTTCCAGACTTTAATGTCATCTCTTCCTCTCATGATGCTATTTACTTTGACAAGGCTGCCTGGCCCATCAGCTGAAAAGCACCCCTAAAGCATCACATTCCCACCGCCATGCTTAAGCATGGGGGTGGTGTTCTTGGGGCTATATAAAGACAACTTCATTTTTATGTCATCTGACCATATATATTCAGGTAAATAGAAATAGATTTCTCCTTGGTCAATGTCCACGGACACCAGCCTTGTGCAGTGCCGGAGTGACTGATTGAGACATCTTGATGAATCTGAGAAATTGATCAAATTCAGAAATTCATCAAGATGGTCTAGGTGTTGATCCTTACATTCTCATTGGCTTCTAATCGACGTTTCTTGCAAGTTCAGGTGTCATTTTTAGCTTCGTACCACAATTTTTGAGATTGTTTCACACTGTGGCCACTGGAACCTGAAGCAACTCTCCCTTAGTGATGGACCCAACAGCAAGCTCATGAATGGTTTTAGCCATGACTTTCAATTCACTCGTAACTGACCAAAGAACTACTGCATCAGCTGTTCTAAGTTTATAGTTTGTTATAATGCTCCAAATATATTGTTGAAAGTACCAGGACCATTTAAATGGTACAGACGATGCATAATGTCTGCAAAAAATAAAAAATAAAAATGGCAACAATTTAATTGCAAACAAACATTAACCTCTCTAACACCACATTCTACTGTCTTTTGTCATTTGTTTACATCATTTCAAGTCAGAATAGACCTACTAGTCACATTATAATTGATGAAAAAGTTTGGACTAAGTTGTATACACAAATAGACACTTCCATACTGCCAGCAGGTTCTGGTCAAGTAAAAATATATATATCTGACTTGTATGCCGCTTTTGAATGTTTCAGTGAAATAAATCTCAAAACCAAGCAACAGGGGATAACATTCAGAGGTGAGAAGTTATCTTATAATAAGTTACTGTTTGGAACATGTAGAGTTTAATACATCAAAGCAGCTAATCCTAGTCTAACAAAGATAAAGGAACTGCTGAAACTTCAGCATGGAACCCCTGTCCAGAGTGTGTAAACAGTTGGTGCCAAGATTCTTAAGAGTGACTTTTTGGTGGAGTAACATGTAGTGTGGCATCAAGACAGACAAATGGAAAATGTGTCACTGCAATCTGCCTGTATGAACTGGTCTAGGTTGTTAGCATGTGTTGGTGCCACCTACCTGCTCCGTTGCGGTTCTCTGGATTGGTGTTGGACAGGTATTCTCCAAATGCTCTGGCTGCTCTGTAGAGACATAGTACGTGCAACAGTTAAAGCTCGGCTCAGCAAAACTCAAATGACAAAAACGGACAAACAACTGAATTTGAAAATATAAATCCCTCCTTCTGCTGCTCTCCTCTCACTGTTTTAGTCCCTCCCACCGGATGAGCATGCACTTCAAATCCACAAAAATAGTCATTTAAAAAAACAACATTCATTTACTTACATACACAAAATTAAACTCCTGCTCTCCTGACTGAAAGTCATTCATCCAACCCACTGCATCAACCCCATCCATTGACTTTGTCACTATTTAAAGTGTCTCACCTGCTCTGTGGGAAAAGGCCTGTGGTTGGTTAAAATCTTCCATCACAGACTAAATTTCTAAGGCCTGAAAACAGCCAAGATGTGGTGCAAAACTCCAGTTTCCATTTAAACCACTTGAATTCCAATATGCTGAAAGGCTAGTTTAGAATTTTTTCCCAATAATATAAAAAAAATATACTGCATACCCTAGCTTTAATCCCAGGCCCTGCTGCACAACTACTGCTGTCAAACACAGAGAAATGACTCACAAAGAGTGAAGGTTTCACTGGATTCTCTTCACATAAATAGCTTGTCTGACTTTTTCTCTCTGAGGCCTCTTCATTGCAAGGAGATTACACCACCACAGCATCCGGCAAGAGGATATTTTATTGTGCTGAACCCATACTCTATAAGCACCACCTCTTACCACGGTTACAATTTGTTCTTATATAATGAAGGAAGGACTTGGAAACAGCTTGGAAGCTACAGCTTGCCTGCCCTGCACAGCTGATAGGCCCTATAGGGGACTGCAATATCACTTGTGCCAGCCAGGAGGCCAGTAAATAAATACAGTCACATTCACATGCTACGCATACTGGCAGGCAAAGTGAGGAATTGGCATAGTGTGCAATGTGGCAGACTGTCTGTAGAATATAAAACATAGTGTCCTCTCTTACACGTGATTCTCCTCAGATAATTCTCCCAGCACTGATGCTGACAGGCAGAGATGATACCACATTTCTGAAACAAAAACAATCTTTTTTTTTTTTTCAGACTAAACCACAAGACATTTAATAGACTTTTTTTTGTCTAAAGCACCTTACACAACCATGAGTGCATTCACTTTCAATATTAGTGGACACAAAATGCCCTGTCTGGCACGCTGCAATGCCACAGACCGTATCTGTATCCTGTAATGCTGCACTGTGTTGCATAAAATAAGGCAATAACAGTTTAATGTGAAACCCCAGAAAGGAGGCTTGAATAACGGTGATTAGCTTATGAACAGTAGTTCAATATCTGTGATTCTGAAGCCACAAGACCTTCGGACCTCACTACATTTCCAAAAAAAAATCTAGTCCAGCACATGAAGGGTTCAGTCAACACTATTGTAACCTTTGCACAGCATTAAGCATGCTGTCTGCCCGAAGGAGCTTTGTACACTGGGATGGATAACTAATTAGTACGATCATTTATAGCTGAAATTACACTTTTAAAATTGAGAAAACAATCCAAAGTAGGTACTGAGGTTAAAGGAAAAGCAAGGAGTAGCATTGCTGTGACTTTTTACAGCGTGGTCATTTTTTATCACCAAAACTGGACTCATGGAAGAGAGATAGCATTAGACGTCATCTTCTTTATATAATCCAGGACAAATATAGCCTTCGCCTCAACTTTAATTTATCTCTGAATAAAAATATATTGCTCCAAGTAGCTGAGACAGACTACTAATTGTTCAGTAAAACTGGCACAAGACAAAGCAAAATCAGCAGTTGTACTTTGGTGTGAAACAGTTTGATATTCAGACACACATTTCTCCTGCTGAAACTGCTACATACACAAACCAGACACAACATCCGAACCACAGACAAATGAGGTGATATATAGGCAGCAAGCAAATAGCTAAAGCTGATGTGTCGGGAGAAGGAAAAGTGGACAGCATAGGAATTTGAATGACTTTGACAGGAGCCAAACTGTGATAACCAATGGGTCATAGCATCTGCAAAACAGCAGGTCTCCTTGTATGCAGTGGTTGGTGTCGCAGGTCTGTGTGGTCCCACAGAAAGGCTGCTGTAGCACAAATTGCTGAAAACCTTAATCCTGGCCATGATAGAAAGATGCCAGAATACACAGTGTATCACAGCTTGCTACGTATGGTGCTGTGTACCTGCAGACTGGGATGCCTTTGTACATCAATGAAAGCACCTATGATAAGTATGTGAGTGTCACAATAGGACCACAAAGCGAAGGAACCAGGTGTGGATTTTCTTTTCCATTATGTGGACAGCTAGGTGTGTGTGTGTTCTTTACATGGGGATGGCAGCAGGACGCTCCATGGGAAGAACTGAGACAGAGGCAGAGGCAGTGTGATGCTGGGAAACCTTAGGTCTTGCATTCATGTTAATGCTTTTACCTACCTAAACACTTTTATACATCATGTGCAGCCTTCATACCAACATTTCTAGATGATCTTTCAGCAGGATAATGCTCCGTGTCACACTGCAAACATTGTCTAGGCATGGCTTGATGGATATAAAGAAAGGCTGAAGGTGTTGACTTGGCCTCCAAACTCTACAAATCTCATTCTGATCAAGTATCGGCTGGATTAACTGGAGTCCAATCAATGGGGACTCCACCTCGCAACTCCTAAAACTAATGTCTTTATGCCTGATACCACAAGATACCGTCAGAGGTCTGAGGAGTTCGGACCTTGATGGATCAGAGCTGTTTTGGTGGCACAAGGAGGATCAACACAATATCTGGCAGCCGGTATTAATGTTGTGGTCGACAGTTAATTCGCAATACATGATATTAAAGATATAGGCCACACACAAGCACACGTATAGAGAAACAGTACAGCCTGTAATCATTCTCCTCCCACTCACTCCAACTTGGCATTCCTGCCATATACACACACAAATGCACACACAGACACCCACATCCTCAGATTGTGCACATGGAACAGCAGGCAGAAGAAAAAAAATATAGACTAGGCACACGCACGATACGTCTTCTACATGCACACAGGGCTTAAATCTCATGGGGGTTGCAGTGAAATGGAATTGCTGTGTTGTTGCTGCAGCCTATATGCCTTTGTGCTACGACACTCTAAGTAATTAAATATGAGGCGGCACGTGCACTGCCATCGCTCCCCATGAAAACTCTCCTCTCAGCCTGGGTGATGGGGAGGAGGAGGAGGAGATAGGGCACGAGGAAGAAAATGCAATCATCTCTGATCTATCTGCTTGACTCAGTGCACTCCTCCCAATAAAAAATCCATGTGCTACACTGAGCGAAGGGGGATGTCAAAGTATGCCACGGCTCACGCAGGACAAATCGCTGCAGCGTCCAAACCAAAAACATACAAAGTGTTAAAGATCGACCTTTTGGTTATTACTGGCAACTTGTTCAGAATCATTCATTTTGATATTCGTCAGTTAAGTAAATGTATTGTTTGAAATTTTAATTTAAAAAAATGTATCAATGGTGATATTGATTATCTGTCTTAAAGGTATAATGGGAAGACTGCCAGATTATAATTTCTAAAAGCTACTAGACCAAAGACCGATAACTGATATTTAGAACAGTTAAACATTTCAATTGAAATCATAATCGAGAAACTCAATAGATTCTATCAAAAACTTTGCTGAAATGCCTTGCATTAGTGATGTTGTGCACATGTTTAACTAAAAGAGAACTTTTTTTTCTTTTTAATTACATTTATCCTTCGGTGTTAACCAGTCAGTTGTGGGTAGGGCACTGCTCGAAACCAACTACAGATAGAGAGAGAAACTGTATCAGAGCCAAAGTAACACATTTGAATGTATTCTTATTCTTATTCTTGTTAGTAATATTATCATTTGGGCTGCAAGGTGGATCAGTGGCTAGCACCGTTGCCTTCCAGCAAGAAGGTCGCCGGTTTGCGTCCCGGTGAGGACACCCGAGATCCTTCTGCATGGAGTTTACATGTTCTCCCCGTGCAGCATGGGTTCTTTCCAGGTTCTCCCACAGTCCAAAAACATGTTGAGGTTAATTGGTGATTCTAAATTGTCCGTAGGTGTGAATGTGAGTGTGCTTGGTTGTCTGTCTCTAAGTGTAGCCCTGTGATAGACTGGTGACCTGTCCAGGGTGTCGCCTGCCTTCACCCTGAGTCAGCTGGGATAGACTCCATAGCACGACATGCTCCCCAGGTCAAAGTGGTTGTTTGACAAGCTTTGTGGCAGTAGTTTTTAAATGCATTAATTTCTAAATATATGTATACATATGTATATATATAGTTTACCCAGAGGTCTTTGAAACACAAAACATATCACGCTTCTGTGTCAGAGAGTTTTAACACATGAATTAAACATCACGGTTGAACTCGTCTTGCCGTCGCCTGACACAGCAGCTACACGAGCAGCTCTGCTCTGTGCTTTTGGAGTCTTTTTTTCCCCGTTACTGCATGTTTTCAGCCATGTGACATGAGGAAGGGGAGGAGGAGGAAGAAGAAACACAGTGACAAGAGGGAGATGTGTTTGTAAGACCAAAATAGAAAGTAAGGAGGGAGTGGGAAGCAGGATGAAGAAGGGAGGCATAATAGGTAAGGAAAGAGCATTAAATAAGGAGCAGGGGTGGACGACAGACAGGAGACAGATGATCCACAAATGAGATGATATTATGCTCTCAGGAGCTGGTCATATGCCAGGCCTCCGTCCTTCTCATGGTGTGTGAAGGAACAGGAGGACTGTATATATGAGGAATGGTAGAGCTTATGGACGCCTGGGGAAACATTTACATCAAATGGTACAGTGGTGAAAGCCACAGGGAAGAGCTTCAGCAGAACAGAAAGAAGATAGAAGTCTGCTGGTCTGAGTGGTTCTGCTTTGTCTATGTGTGTTTTCTGTGTGTAAGGGTTTCTTTGCACACAGCACATGCCGCTGAATGGTGCACAAGAATAGGAGTACACACACAGTCACGAGAAGATGGAGAGAAGCTCTGGGAGCAGTTTCCCTGTG